ATTATTTGGACATATCTCTAACAATTTCTGGACCTTTGTATTTACTCCCATACTTAACGGCTTTGCTCCCAGGTAAATCAGGGAGTGACCTGAACAATTTGAGAACATGTATGTTATTTTTCACTTTTAACATCAATACGTTTTAATTATATCTTAATGTCAGTACTTTTTAACATATTGTAAAAAGTAATGTGTATTGCTGGTCTTTGACTTATACATTAGATTTGTACTCGCTGCTATCTACCCAACCTCGGAAGTTTTATTATATAGTATAGCAAACAACAACAATAAAAACTGTAAGATATCTCTCCAAATTTATTGCTCATTGAATCTAACTTCCAGCAGGAGGGAAGAGAAATTATTAATACGATGACCTCTAAGATCAGCTTATTTGTATTCTTATATATAGTACTACCTTTAAGGTGTTTAAAAATGTAAATAGACATGATTCCTTCTATCAGGTTGCTGCTGAACTAGCTGCTAAAGCAGAAGAAGAACAGAAAAAGAAAGGGAAAAAGGGGAAAAAGGAAAAGAAAGAAAAGGGCAAATCGAAGAAGAAAGGAAATGAGATAGAAGAAAAGAAACCAAAGAAGAAAGATGAGGCAAGTCACTCTGAATCAGAAATAATAACATATATAAATCCAGAAAAAAGATGGTAAAAATAATATTCTCTAATAGAGTTTTGAGATTATTTTATTTTGTTTTGGTATATTGAAAGAGGAGAATCAGGAAGATATATTTGAAGGTTAGACATTCTTTATCACCCTTCTGAAACTTTCTGTGCTACAATATAAGGTGCTAAAGGGTTCAAACTCAGTGTAGCTTGTCTTCTCCAACCCTGAGTATACAGTATTACTATATATAGGGGTGTGGGTGTGTCAGAGGTGGTATTCAGCCAGTTCTGACCACTTCTGGCGAACCAGGAATTTTGAGTAATTCGAAGAACTGGCAAATACCACCTCTGGATGGCTCCGCCCCATCTATTCGCTGCCTCCCAAGTTCCAGCTGATCGGCTGGGTCGTCTTCTATTGTTGCCCTGCACAGCAGAACAGAGCTGGAAAGCAGATTAGTAGGGTGGGGAGGGAATGGGGATTTTATAGTATACTTGCCCTGGAGTGGGGTTGAAATTGAGATTTTACAGTATCCTTCCCCAGAAGTGGAGAGGGAATGGGGATTTTGCAATATCCTTCCCCATGCTCACTAAGCCATGCCCACCAAGCCACACCATGCCCACAGAACCGGTAGTAAAAAAAAATTGAATCCCACCACCGGGGGGGGGTGGGGGGTGGGATGCATATGTGTATAGATATGTATGTATGTAATATGAAACATGATATGATGTTTTTAACCTACTTATACCTATTCCTTACCTTCAGAACACTACAAGTTCTTAAGGGTTCAACCAAGCCAATTCCAGATCTGACACAGCTTTTGTAATATCTGATTGCTTTGTATGCATAAAAGGGTTTGGCAAATTACATATGAGATTTTATAAGTCACATTTGTTTAAGATGTTATAAGAAGCAGGTTTGATACGCAGTGTTCATGCATATTCTAAATAGTTTGAATTGTAAGAATGAAACAGACAATACAAATGAAGAATAGACTTATAGCAATGTATGGCTTAATTAAATTCCAGGGATGTGAAATTTAAGAGTTTTGTTTTAACTTACGTATGTTCAAGTTCATTTCTAAACAATTTGTTCTTAAATACTTAACTAGAATTTTGACATGATGAGAGAATAATAGTTTAAACATTTCAGAAAAAGAAAAACATATCACAGGGGGGAAAAACAACTGGGGTGAGTGTGTGCTATAGTATTTAGGTGGATGAATCAGCTCCCAGGTGACCCAGGTACAATTTCACTAAGCCACAATGGAACTTACTGTGGCTTTTGAGCCAGACCTTTTCAACAAATCACAGGATTATTGTTTTGAAGATCAAACAAGAGGCGACTGCCTTGAGTACCTTAGAGAACAAGTTAAATATAAATGTAATTAATGAATGAACTGGAAAGTCTCCGAAGCACTCCAAAAATTTGCTGAATCTTGTTATAATAAAGTTTTCAGGTTTCATGGGCACATGTAACTTACTTGAGGCTTTTATGCAGCTTCTTCTAAGCTCCTCCTAATACAGTAAAACTAAAGCATGGAGTGACACAGGTTTATCACCATAATAAATATTTTATTTGATAAAACAAGTCTGTATAAGGTGGGATAGAACAAAAAAAAGAAAATAAATCAACATATGATGCCAAAAGACTCAGCTGAGGAGCATATTTTCTGCTTTAATGGCTAGGGAAGTTTCAGGAACAGCTGCCTTATCTCAGTTCTCTCTCACTTGGCCAGTTTGAACACATTAAAATTAAGAAAAAACATTGCATATTTGTCTTACTTGAGTCTCAGGAGTACTGAAAAATTCATCCAGTGCAGAAATGAGAACTATCTTATATCATTGTCATACTCCTTTTATCAGATTGGCAGAATCTCTGAAAATTTATACAGATAAACGTTTTTCTGCATTTAAATTCTAGAATTTAGAATAGTAGAATTTAATTTAATAAAATTTTTAATTTGATTATAATGATTATATTATATTATTATAATTATTATTTATAATGGCTCAGTGGTTAAAGATACTAACCTTATCAGCTGGAAATCTGACAATTCGGGTTCAAGACTCGAATATAATGCAATGAGGTTAGCTCCCATTCCGTTTCTGTTCAGCTCCTGCCCACCTAGCAGTTCGAAAACATGCAAATGCAAGTAGGTACCATTTTGGTGAGAAAGTAACAGAATCCTGTGGTCCTTTGGCATATAGCCATCTGGCCACCTGACCACGGAAAATGTCTTTCGATAATGCTGGCTCCCTTGGCCAAGAATTGGAGATGAGCACTGCACCCTAGAGTCAGATATGGCTGGACAGAGAAACTGGATTTTTACTATGATTTAGAAACATTATCAACATATCTATCTATAAATAAAATAGAATAAATAAGATTTTAAGTATTACTAAGAAAAATGCTACAGGCCTTTCTTTAAACCAGCTAATGTAAATGGGCAATGAGATGAATAAGCATTGGGATTCCTCCCTATCTTTTTAGAAATTCTGGGATGGAGCTATTGGGGACAGCGGTTCTATCAGTCACTCCAACTTGTTACTTTCATCTACTCGGTTGCAGTTAATAGAAGCAGGACAGGCTAGACATTGCTATATCACAATGATGGCTAACTTTTGGCAGACTGAGTGCCCCAAACGTAAATGCGCATGTGCACTCCTGAACCCCCAAAATGCAATGCGCACATGGCCCCCCACATGCACCCCGCCACCTGCATGTGTGGCCCATCACATGTGCCCCCGCATGCATGTGTGGCCCCCCGTGCATGCATGCATGCCCCCCGCATGAGCCCCACCCACTGCGCATGAATGGCAGATACCCAAAGACCAGCTGGCTGGCGGAAGGCACACATGCGTGCGTGGTGCAGCTAAACTGGGGCGATGGCTCGTGTGCCGACAAAGAGGGCACTGCGTGCCACCTCTGGCATGCATGCCATAGGTTCATCACCATGGCTATATCATTTCAAACAATAGGAAGTCTGATGTTTTTCATTTATTAGCAAAATCTGCTGACTATGTGAATTTTCTAGTTAATACTCCAGTAACAGTGGGATCCCTAATTACAGTTTCATGGACTCATTTAAACACAGAAAATGTGAGTACCTTCAGGGGAAAGACAGAGAGACAGAGAGACAGAGAGACCAATTTGCTTACAACCATATCCATAAAGCCTTTTCCCCGTACCCAAATATTATACCCAATAGATATACCCAAATATTCAGAATGAACAATGAAATACAGAATAAAGAGAGTGAGAGATTAAAGTATATCAGAATGCCTGGAATTAGAGAAGTAGTAAAACTCATTCATGCAAATGTAAGGATTAATAATAATAACTGTTCTTTACAACTAAGATTTGCAGCATGAATTTGAAAATTTATTTACAATTGTGTTCCAAAATCAGTTCTAGCAAGATTTATATTATTTATTAAGGAAGAAGAGGAAGGTTGGAAAATGTCCCCAAGTAATTTTCTCCCAATAATGGAAGAAGGAAACAACAAATACAAAGGCAAGTAGAGAGAAACTTAAAACAGCTTGGTGAATATTTAGACTGTTTATGTTTTTCATGTACTTTTTGTTAAATATTAATATGGTGCCTAAGACTGAAAACATGCGTCTCCTGCTTGGCTGAATCAAAAAGAAATTGTAAGGTCAATGTTAACTTTAAGAGATGACATAAAACAATTTTCGCTGGTCCATTTTTAATCAGATATATAAACAGCAATCCCCAAATATAGATATAGTAGAAATTGAAAATTAATTTCCAAGGGTGAGACAAATGCTTTGCTATAACTTTTTAAATAGCATTTCAAAAGTTTACATTTCAAATATGTCTGGGGATTTCATAGATTTTTACAGGATGGGACATAGTATTGCTTCATCAAAAGATTCAGTTTATTTGTAGACTTCATGTTAAAGAAGGAACTAATTTTGTGGTGTTTAAATGTCGATGTATGCTAATAATGGTGTAATCATGGTTTTATTAAATACTTGGAGAGCAATACTGTAGAAATTTGTAACCCTTAGAGATTATGCGCTGCTATAAAAGCCCATAAAATTTCATGGGAGGCTTGTATTATCAATTAAGAGAATATATATATAATATATAAAGTATCAAAAGATGCTTTCACATATCTCTGTTGTAATGGAAAGGGAGATAGAAACATGTAAAATATCACATTTCTCAATAGGCCTTATAAGAGAATACTTGTTTTTCACCTGCCAGTCAAAGGATCCATCGGTAAATTCAATTATCTGTTGTCTATGGAGTATTATATAACAAAGAAACACTCCAGTTATCATCATTAACAATATCAGCATGTTATTTTGAGTATATAATTAACTGGAGGGAAATTCAAAATAACTTACATACATAGTAAAATTAGAATATGTAATCCACCTACAAATATGCACTTTTAATTAGATTACAGTGGCCTATACATTTTGCCCACCTAATGCAGCTTTCACTTCAAAAATGTTGTCCCATCCTTATCTACTTTCAAATATCTGAACTCTTTGCAGAAGCAGGATATAGACTCTACAATGGGTATTGCTAAACCTGTAGCCAGAATTGAGCTTTAAAACTTCATTAATTACAGTTAATTTTCCATTTCAAAAAATCATTAAAACTCATTAATGTAATGAATTTAGTTACCAGAACCAGAAATACAAATTTTGCTATGCTTTAAGACTTATTAAAAAACAAAAAAACCAAGCCCTCGTTCCCTTCTCATTCTTTTTCTTTTCTTGGGTGACAGATATTTGGAAGAATAGAGATGAGAAATGGAACTTTTCACAAGAATATGACCCAGAACTAATCAAAGAAGAAAAAAGGAAAGAAGTGGAAGAAGAGATCAGAGTTCAGGTGACTTCATTCTAGTAGGTCATTTAAAAGAAAAAAAATGGCTGTAGTCAAAGAAGATTCCTATACAAAAGTAAAATTTATCAGGAATATCTATTTTATAATTTAATATCAGCCTGCCTTTGTCTTTGAAACTTGTGCTACAAATGATTGAAATGATGCTCTCTGGAAGTTCCTTGTTTTACAGAAAAAAGCAGGTGGCTTCTATACAAATATAAAATCTATATACATTTGTTTAAAAAATAAATAAATAAAATAAGCTTTGATATCATGAAAATGTTTTATTCTTTCCAATTCCTTCTGATAATCATGTTACTTATCTAAAGTAGTAAAAGAATGTTTCAGTTCTAGCTTTCTAAAGACCCTGAATAGACTTTTCTATATAATTATAATCATAATCTTTAGTATTTAGTAGCATAATTTTTTGTATATGCATAATTTCTGGTCTGCTCTGCCATGAAAATGAGTTCATAGAATCCTTGATTGGTAGACAAATATGTATACTGTCTAGGCTACATATTTGTGTTCTTATATATATATATTGTAACCGTCTACAAAGTTTCTGGAAAGTGCAGCGTTTTTGCCATTTAGCATAACTTATCTCAGCTGATCACATGAAAGTTAATGAGGGTCAGACCTGGTCAATTCCTGGATAAGAAGCCACCAGGAAATTCCAAGACTGTGAAGTTGAGAAAACATTTAAGCAGTGATGGGTTCCGGAACTCGTTGCAACGGTACAGTGCAACGGGGCCTGGCGCCAACCACATGAACCCACATAGCACACATGCACACACACGCAGCGCGTGCATGTGTACTTATCAACTGCGACACTCCAGCTGCTCGGCGGAGCATCGCGCAGGCGCTGTGCATGTGTGCGGAAGCCCCAAAAACTTCAAATACCAGTAAGAAGCGAGGGTGGGCGGTTGGGCCCTCAGGAACACTGTACTGGAACAGTACCTGGTGCTCCCGGCAGGCACCGGTATGCCCATACCAGGCGTACTGGTCATAACCCACCACTACATTTCAGCCACCTAATATTTCTGGCAGAAGTTTCAAAGCAAATTTCCCAATGTATGAAAAAGATTCTGAATTATTGTAGCACAACAGCTTTCTTACATGTGTTTTGTAATCCACTTTGTGTCTACTGTAGAATTATGAATTCCATCTTTTCTGTTGGATCAATATTTTTGGGCCGCCTGCAGAAAAGGGATTGTGGAACACAATCAGTTATCTGATTGTGGA